TAATTTATTTTTTGGAATTCAGATTCATGGATCTTTAAATCTTTTAGCAGTGAGTTTTTGAATGTGTCTTAGGACAGATTATTGTAATATGCTTTGATGATTACTCAACATTATGCTTTGATAAAAATTTTTACAGTCATTTCTTCAGACGCTGCTGTTTTTATGGCACTAAGTGAACTGTATAATTTTGTCAAGCATTAATAAATGTAATGAATATGAATTAACCAGTGAGGCAACGAGATGCTCGAGTACGAAACCACTTGCACCAGCTAAAGCTCCAAAACCATTTGAAAAACCCATTAAAATAGGAGCATATCTTGGTGCTATATCAAAGTGGTTCACATTAAATCCTGTAAAAACTTTTTAATTTTCATTGTTAGTAAAGCATAGCTGGTAGCTTAAGTTTCAGCTGACAGTTTTGGAGTATATTTAAATTTTGTTGCTTTATAGCACAGTATACTGTCAGATTGTATGTTTATTTTGAAAAGGTGCTCGTTCCTTTTAGGTATAATGATTGTTCATCATATATGTGCTTTATTCATGTGTATTTTTCCTGTTTATATATTACTTACAAATAAGGTAATTTTTAAAAGTTACCTGCGATTCCGAAACCACTGCATCCTGCTGCCAGCACTAGTGTACTTACTGCAGCAGAGGGTTCACTTATAAGTGATAAACAACAAAGGAAGATTGCTTCGCCCCCAAAACCTGCAATTTACTTGCTGCAAAAATGTTACGATAATTTTCACTTTGTCTTGTTTTTTTTTTTCAAAGTATAGTTTATATTCTGTAAGAACAACCATCTATGATGATGAAAAAACAATACGTCTTCAAAAGTTCTGTAGAATGACATGGTCGCAGAATTGTTCTCAAGAAAACTAAAAGCAATTTTTATATACTTTCAGTGGTTATCAGTGCAGATTTAATTGTTTGAAGATAATAAGTAAATTCAAAATCAATGCAAATTTGAAATGAAATCGGTAAGTCTGAACGGACAAACCGAGGGTATTGAATAATTTACGGACTGTTTGAGTTGACATTTTACCCGTAGAACGAAGATAATCCGCTAGTTGACCTGAAGCTAAGACCGTCACAGACATCAGAACATGTGGTAGTGACGACATTAAGCCACCCTGCAGGTCAAAACTGTTGGATTAGATTTGATATGAGAATAGCGATTTCAGTACTTGTTTTACTCACTTGAAATTGAAGTTGCAGGAAGAAAAAGCAAAGTATAAATGGATAAAAGTTTGGAGAAAATAAATTACACTTTGTATTTCGAGATTTAGCACATCTTTCATATAGGTCAACTGATTGCCCAACAACAAAAAGAATGTCCATGATCGGCAGAAATTGCATATTACTATTGCCCATACTGGCAAGGAGAGTAGGATCTCCTTCCACGGAATAGTTGTCAGCTGAAAGTTTATGTCTGCTAACGTGAAGCAATTATTTCAGCAGTTTGCAAGAAGTCGGGAGTGATTATTAATATGAAGCAAATTATTCACAGAGTGTATCAATTTTTTCTCAAATCGCGATGGATTCTTATAATATCTTATTTCGATACATAATTCACATATCTGAAGCGCATATCTGAGCAGTTTTTATTAGCAATTTTCCCAGTAATTGCACTAATATTACTTTTATTAATAAGTATTATTATTAATTCAAGTAACAAGATTTATTATTACTCATAATATATTATGTTCTTTTAATTACTCAGTTTCCATATTATCATACCGTAGCTGGAGAAGAAGTGACTTGTCCAACTTGTTCCATAATGAAGCGTTTTTCATCTTCTGAGATGGATTTACACTGTTCAGGTGTTGGTGCGCTGACAATAAACCAAATGAGAAACCAAGTTACCCCAGCAACACCTTCAAATAAATGCAAATACATTGCTTCCTTCGATGAGTCATAATATACTTACTTTGTTTTAATTACTTAGATACAATTTTAAAAGTAGAAATAATATACTGTACCAAAAAAGTAAAAAGGTGCACTCCAATCGATATATGAAACAAGGTAAGCAGAGACTGGCAAACCGATCATTACTCCCAAGTAGCCACCTGTGAATGTGGTCGTGGCAAGTTTTGAGCGTTCCATTGGTGGTGCCCAATGTCTCCAAACCCCGTGCATTGCGGGATAACTCACTCCCTTCAAATCCTCAGCGATAATTTTTAAATTTGCAATTGCTTGCAAGCATCAGTACTCATTTTTCATTCTTTTGTTTATTTTTATTTATTATCTATTTTTCAGTGTCACAAATATTAATTAATTTATTAATGTATTGGCAAAATTAGCTTTGAAAAACACAACAGCAATCGTTGGGAAATGTCGTTTTACAGCAATTATTGATGATCAAAACTTACGATAAGCATTTGCAGACATAAATTCTAGTAACTCTACTAGTACCGACAAAGGTAACTACAACGTATGAGAGAAAATTTAAAAATTTACCAATGAAAGACCTTGGCAGATTTGAATAGCGATAACAACGAAATCCGTGAGTGGATGTGCAGTGAGTGCGAGCGCCAAAAAAAAATTCAGCACCGACGCGATGAGTATGGAAAACCCAAATAGCCTGAAATTTTATTCCACCTAATGAACTTGGATGAAAGTGGAATAATTTTTTAATTGTTTAATTACTTATCACTAATAAATGCAATTATGAAAAGCATTAATACTTTCATTTAAGATTTAAAAAGAGCGCAAATGCTTTCGATACAAAACTTTAAAAGAAATCTTACAGATTTGGTGCAAACTTGGCAGCTAACATCCCACCAGGTATTTGAGTGATGGCATAACCATAGAAAAATGCGCTTTCCATGAAGCCAAGTTCAATCGGTGACCAATAAAACTTCTGAGTCTACAATTATTGTGTTCATATAGTGGAATTGCAGATAAATTTTCTCAGAAATTATCTGAATCCGTCATTTTGCATAGATCCAAGCAATGCTTATATTAGATTGATCTTATCTCTGATTTGTTAATTTTGAAGATAGTCAACTTTCTTTCTTCAAATACTTTGCAGCAATCACAAGGAGGAAATATTTGTAGAATTTGGTACATATCATTTACACTTTGTTTTATTATAAGTTTTAAGCTGCAATAATTTACATTTTCTGAAAGTTCAATAACTTCATTCATCTGCATATTTAAGACTTAACTACACATAATCATATAATTATTTATTATTTTGTTGTTATTTTTATTGCTCTTACTGACATAATTATAATAAATACATGATTATTGCCGAACGGATCAGTGAAATTATTGATCATTCGACCTTTCGCAGCTCCAAAATTACATCGGATTCCAAAAGCAATAATAAATCCAAAATTTGCCAATATTGCAGTTTGCCAGCGTTTTTTCTTGAGAAAAAATACATCCTAAAACAGATTTTTAACTTTGCTCAATGCATAACGTTCATGTGAAGCACAATACTTTAGCTTCTTTCAAAGCACACGCAAATCAGCTATGCACCACAGTGCATTGCAGAGGAACAATTGTACCGCAAATTATCAGTTTACTTTGTTACAGAAATTGCGTAAGAAATGCAGTACCGAATTCTCAGAAATGCTGTGAAGTTGTTTGATATTCTTGCTCTTTCGTCCCGTTAAAATGCTGTAATTAAGCTTTAATGTAAAAGTTTCATAGAAATACTTAGCTGTTTTACTTTCAGTGATTAAAGGATTCTTTGATCGCTGCGACAAGATTTCAATTCAATGATAATAATAATAATAATAATAGTAATAATAATAATAATAATAATAACATAAATGATAATAATAATAATAATAATAATAATAATAATAATAATAATAATAGTAAATTACTTTTTGGTTTTTTGTACTACACTCTCGCCTTGTTTCAAAGGCCAATCAAAAATCTTTGACACTGATGCTGTCAATTTGTCAGGCTCTACCTGGAAAATTTATTGAATTATTTTTATTTTTGATAATTTCGGATAAAATTATTAAAGTAAAAATTTGAGCTGAAAGTACTGCTTGGCTTTTTACTTTTATGTGCTAATAACTTTACAAATAGTTTCATTTTTGCTTAAGCTAAAAACGTTTTCTCTAATTTTTATGAAGGAAATTTTGAAAGCAAAGTAATAAGCATAAATAAACTAACGCAATTTGCGTGTCGTGGTTCATCGGCTGAAAAATAAGACGTCGCCATTTTCAGGCTGTGCTCTGTTTAATGCATTAAAACAAAATCCTATAAAATATTTTATCTTCCACAAATTACAGTAAAATTTTTTAGCATGAGGTGAATCACGTGAAAAATCAAACATGTGAATAAATCAGTTTGAGTAGAACAATAAATAAAAGTAATTTAAATTAAAATGAATTAGTAATAATGAGTGAATTAAATTACTATTTGCAGTAATTTAATTGATTACTGCCAATAAATTTCAGTACAAAAAGTATAAAATTCATTCAACCGTTAAAAGGAATTAATTTTGGGGCGAAAAACTGCAAGCTTATTTATGCGTGAATGCGTGAACAGGAATATCAGGTCTGTTTGAATTAAAATCACATTCAATTTGTTGAATTAATTACAAGAAAATTTTATGTCGTATTTGAGGTCGTTTGCCTTAAATTGCTGAAGGAGAAAGAATTAGTTACGATAAAAATGGCATGACAAAAAGTTTCGTTCACTAACTTTGCTCGGTTATAATCGTTAACGAGTTCATTCTTTGATAGTAATCAGCAAAACTTTATCAAATTATTAATAATTTGCCTTCATTTGTCACATCTTTCAGTCTTTCTCATTTTATCGTCCAAAGAGTTTTCAAAATAAAAAAAGGATAGAAAAACTAAATAAAGCTTCTTTTCTTATTTTTTATTTTTCATTTTTAGAGGGAAATTAGTAAAATTATCATTATTATAAAATGGTATTCTCTATGAATTTGTGCTGAAAATATATATTCTCATCTTTTCTGCTCGAAATTGCTTTTTTGATTAAATTAATTAAAAGTTATTTATAATTCAGTAATATTGTCAGAGCTAATGATTATTGCTTTATTTCAAATTTCATTTTTTGATTAAATTGTGCTGCTGGAAGCAGGCTGCAGAGTGTGACAATATTTGTAAACTTATACTTACTGAAAAAATAAAATTATCAGAGAAAGAAATGTTCAAAATAATTTTAGAGATAGAAAAAATTTGTTGAATTCAGTTAAGACTGGAAAAGAATAAATAATAAAAAGTAGTTTTATTTGAAACTGGTTAACTTTCAGTTTCAGTTTCAGTTTCAGTTTCAGTTTCACAAAATACAAGTTGTTCAATCTGCAAAAACACTCAACAAAAACTTAATATTGCAAGTAGTAAACAATGTGAACTTTACTATAAATAAGCACTAATTCTATACAAGTTTTGTATGAAAATTAAATTTTGTTATGACAAGCAAAAAAATAGTAAACAAAATAAGTGAAAACAAACTGACTTCAGTAAAAATTATTTTTACAGTTGCAAGTTTTTTTAATTTGCAATTGAATAATTTTGTCAAAGAAATCAAAATTTGTGTCTTTTAAATAAAATTAAGCAAAATATCATTACAAATTTTTTGTAAGCAAAATACTATTAACAGCAATTTTTGAAATTTATTTGAAACTGGCTAGCTTTTAAAAAGTTCAGATATACAATTGTTTTTTGTACATCTGAAATAGAAAGTATTCAAATTTCACGTTTTACGTGTACAAGTATATTTTGTTAATATACCATATTTTAATACAAATTTAAGGACATTCCAAGCAAAATTTATTTCAGGTCACGCATTTCATCTTCTGACAAACTTTCACTGATAAAATAAATCAATGCGACTGATGATGATTTGTTTGGTCTTAAGAATTTAGCATTTCATTCTCAAGTGATCTTAAAAACTGCAATTTATATTGCAACGTGAAAAAAAATTTCCTTTTTTAACAAATTTCACACAGTTAAATTATACAAATTGCAGAATAGAAAAAGAAAAGTAATGAAAAAATTAATTGTATTAAATAAAATTGGATAAAATTGTATGCAATTAGATCATATATGTAAGGAAATAAAGAATGACGGAGTAAATGAAATGAATCTAAAAGGTATGCATGAATACATCGTATCGCATCACATCGCATCGCATCGCATCGCATCGCATCGCATCGCATCACATCACATCACATAACGAATGCAAGTGAGCAGATGAAACCTGCTTCATTCTTCTTCACACTGCACCACACTTCGGACAGTACTTCCATTCCTCACTTGGCATGCATGCATTCATTAATTCATCACACAATGCTTATATCCATAGCTTTTGACCTTTTCATGAATGTATTGATCAAAATTTTGTCAAGTTGCTTGCACTTATTTTTGAATTCTTATTCATATTTAAAATTTTATTGCAAAATAAATAATTAAGTATTTTAGTCTTCATTAGCACATGCACACTTTTAGTTACTTAATGCATTATTAAGTAATTTTATTATTTTAATAAATTAAAAAATGTTCAAATAATTGCGAAGTAAACTTTAAAAATTAATTGAAATGTCCAAAGATTAAAAATCAAAGAGGTGCAAAATATCAAAATTTTTTCACTTTTATGGTGTGCAGTTTAAATTGAAATTTTAATGAATAACGTCTTCAAATTTTCTTACATTTGCTTTTTTTCACCTTTTTTGCAAAATTTCGTTAATTAACTGACATGCCCTTTGACTTTTGATCTCAGTTGCAGAGAACAAAAGTAATATTAACTCCAAGTTGGAAAGCTTTAACACAGATGACGAAGATGCAAATTGAATTCACGCAAAAACTGACATCATTCACTGCTCGCAAATTCATTTTGCAAAGCTCTCAGAAAGCTTATCTATTTAACGATTTGTGGGTAAGCTTCTTAATTCTGAGCAAAGTTTGTAAATGGAACATTTGGGCACTAATTCATTCGCATATTAGTTCGTCGCTTAAGCTAAAAGCAACTTTTTAAACATTGCTTTTACCTGTGCTTGTGTGATTACACTTTGCAATTAATTAAACGCTTAACAGAGCAAAGATAAGGCTTGTAATGAATGATTTCGCGCAATACATACATAAATGCATAGGTGAGAAGCAGAAGAAACTGTAAAATAAGCAATAAATGTTTGAAAAAAAATCAGAAAATTGATCATTTTATTTTTTCTTAATTATAAATGAAGAGGTTTGTTGACATCTTCGTCGACCTCTCCTCTATCGCTGCTATGCATTTGTAGGCATTTTAGAAACTGGAATGCATCCCCCCCAGCAGCCTTCTCCTCACAACTAATTTGATTCCACTCATTGTGCAGTCAATTTTTCGTCACAAATTTCGACCAAATTCCTTGTAATTACTTCTGAATTTCATGCTTCCACTTCATGCTATTATGTGGCAGCAAATGTTCACTACAGAACTTAATAAAAAACTGATTTACGCAAATAGACATTATCAGTGAAGTCATTTGCTGCATTTAGTGCTTGCTAGAAGACATGTTTTCGAGAAGTTCTCGAACAAAAATCAAAAAATTTTACAAATTTGCATTGCAGTAATCAAATTCAGGCTTGAGATATTCAGTAAAGACGATTCGAGCAGGTCTGAACATTCTCAACTAGCAGATCATATCTCAAGTAGAACTTGAGAAATGTTTCGGAAGATGCATCATTTTTGGAAGATTAGATCACTCGAAAGTAAGATTGTTCTGACTTGCTTGAAAATACATAAAAAAATTCTTGCAAATGCTTGTATTTTAAATGATAAACAAAAAGTTTTCTACGACAATTTTATGAAAAAAATAGTGTAGAGTATATAGTAAAAGATAAGGATATGAAGCAAGTTCTTTGGCAGATTATGTAATTGTTTTCTTGAAAAGTTGCTGACACGTCAATTACAGTACTGTATAACTTGCTGACATGCTAATACAGTATGTGGAACAAAGTGATGAAAGGGAAGAATTTATGATTGCTATTGTAAATTGTTGCAAATCTTGAAATAAAAAAACAAATTGAAAGCAAAGTTGCTCTGACAGATGTTAGAAAACACAGAAAATACTTGCAGATGCTTGTAATTTAAATAATATCAAAAGTTTTTTTAAGTTTTGAAGAATTGAATAGCAACAAAAAATGGAATGATACTATGGCAACAAACACACAAACGTGAAGAAAGCATTTTACGACA